AGCTAAGAAGATGAAAAATTGTGTCTGTTACTTATAAAACACTGTCGTTAGATCTTACTTGCGTAGATGTTGTCTTTCATAATCTGATGATGTCAAATTATATTAGCATGGCATTACTTTCTAGACAGTTAATAGATCATAATGAACTTCTTTCCCCCATCTATCTCTCTCTCTTTTCTTCCCTTGCACTAACCCTTTCCACCTATTCCTCTGTTCCTCCTTTCTTCCCTCCCCCTCTCTCTCTCGCTCACATGCTCACTCTCTTACTCTTTCATTTCATCATTCTCTCTCTCTATTTCTGTCTGTCTTTCCTTAACTGCACAATCTCTCCCTCCGATTCTATCTCTATCTCTCTGCCTCCCTCCCCCTTCCCTCCCTCCTCCCCCCTGCCTTCTCCCTGCCTCCCTCCCTCCCTCTTTTACTCACTACATCTGTCCGTTGTCCTTCCTCTCCCCGTCTCTTTGTCTCGGTCTCGGTGTATGAGTCTGTGCATGCTTGTGGGCGCATATGATCCATATGTGAAGTATAATATTGTTGACAAGCTTGTTGATCCCCATTGTGTCAATATCAGCTGACAGAGGAGCCAATTACAGAGTCGAGTTAGTCTCAGGATGTGTAAAAGCCAATTGAAGACTAACTCTATCATAATTTTCCCTGCTTTGTTTGTAAATTTGCCTTCATGTCTCTCTCTCTCTCTCTCTCTCTCTCTCTCTCTCTCTCTCTCTCTCTCTCTCTCTCTCTCTCTCTCTCTCTCTCTCTCTCTCTCTCTCTCTTTCCTCTCTCTCTCTCTTTCTTTCTTCCTATATATATGTAGGTATATATATTATTCCCTCATAGGAGATAGAATTCAAGATATAATCCTCTGTTCTCTTTTAGAAATTGTCATATAAGCGAGAAAACGATCGAAAACTTGTGGGAAAATATCGAATGAGTATTAGGTCCTATTTACATTCACGGAAAGGAATCAAACACTCTTTCATTTGGTGCTCCCTTTAATGTGCCTTTTGAGCAGGAGGCTTTTCTCTCTCGGCGCAAAAGGAGTTGAATCCCAAGGCAGGGAGCTGAGGGAACACTTAAAAACATGAGGCTATTGTTCAGTAAACAACTCTGAGCGAAATGCAGAGGTTGTCTCTGAATGATACATCAGCCAAGTATCTTTAATGCGTGCTTACTGAGACGCGAAGAATGAGGGATTTGTACTTGCAAACGCACATGCATAAACTGAGTGTGTATACACGCACATGCATGTGTGTGTGTGTGTGCGCGCGCGTGTGTATCATTTTACATATACAAACATACACACAAAAATGTTGTCAGATATACTGAAGCGCTAAAAAAATGAAATGATACAGTAATTATTAGTATCATAATTATCATTACTAACATTTCATCATCTCCTAATTGCATCGTCATCATTACTAGAATAAGAAAAAAAATCGCAAAGCCTTATCTTAAGGAATCCGCTTTCTGAAGCATGTGCACTTGCCTTATAGATTTATTTTCATACTTTGGGCGTTTCTTTAGACATAACCTAAAAAAAAATCCGGGATTTAAGTATGTTCTATACATTTTTCTGGTCATTGTTATCAAGCTTGTCACAAAGCTGCTGTCTTCCTTCCTACAAATCAAAGGTCATGGACGCAATGTGTATTGATGATTCTGTCTCTTTGATAATGATTAGTGAATCAATTTAATTACCGGATTAACCGAGCGGCGTTGATCAGTTTCTTGAGCTCGTATTTCACAGAGATATCAGCCCTGAAAATACGGCATCGCGTTTCCGTTTCGAAAAATGACTGGATTCAGCAAATAACCGATCAACATAATTTTCCCGTGGGAGTTTTAATCCCAGAAATACTACTGGCTAATCCTGAATGAAATATTGCATTGGTAGGAGCGTTATCCATCACATCCGTTAATGAACATGGAATATTCGTATGTCTAGTGTCATTGCTACTTTTCCCCTCACAATCGTGCAACATATTCGAGGACATATCATCTAAAGAGAAAGAAAGAAAGTAAAAAAAAACGTTTATATTTCCGTAGGGTGATGGGGGTTAATTTTCCATCATGTTCGGAAGAGATTCTATTGCGACAAAGGAGTGATTAATCCCATAATGCATCTG